ATAAAAATGTTCTCTTATCACGCAATTTTATTTATGCCTATTAAAGCAGATTTGATATAAAAATGTTCAATTAATTTGACTCCATGTGAATACGATCTAACATAAATGATGAACTATCTGATTTCACTGACGAGAGAAATAATAATCGAAACATGCGTTAACAATTATGATATTTTGAATTAATTTACAATTTAAAAAGGAAACACAAAAATGATTAATATAAACTCACATTGACTTTGAATGGAGTTAATAAATAATAAATAGTTAGGTTTTAAATTAAAACTAATTTCGAAATAAGCTTACTGTTAGACGAAAAGGAATATTAATGAAAGTCATGTAATCTCAAGTGTAGTCAGTCAAAGTGCAAGTCATCTTTTAAAAAGTTTAAGAAAGGGACGGAACCCTAAACCGTTCAACGATGCATAATTCATATAGCGCTGACCTGATATTACGATGTTGCCTGACGGTACGATGTAAACACTCATAAATTCAGAAAATTGATAGACGTTGCTCTTCTCATAAAGAAAAGAAGAAGAAGAAAAGAATTACAAAAAAGCATAATAACCATAATTTGATCGTAAATTTTGAGATCAATAAATTCCATTAATAAAAAATTAAAATATCATTATATAAGGGGAAAAAAGTCCCAAATAACGAATGAATCGACAATCTCTCTATTATCTATTATAATAATAAAAAGAGTAGTTATCGTTTAATATAAACGGTTAAATATATGTATATAAATATATTTAATATTTTTCTTCGACAATCATTGGTACTCGTTTAATAAACGTTATTAAATTATAATCGATAAAAATACGAAAAAAAAAACAAGAAAAATAGGGCTCTCACCTTTCGAGAAGTATTTCAAACGGTGTTAAACAAAACTTTTGATAAAATCCAAAATAAGATGAAGAGAAAAAACAGGATTTATCTTTAAATCGATGCACACGAATTTTATTTACACGTAGCGATTGAAAACATCGCTGAGGATAATACTACTTCTTTTCTCTTTGATAAGAGGAGAAAGAACTTCTGTCACAGAACAGAAGGATCACATCGACAGGAACGTGAATACCGGTGTGTCACGAACCGACACGGTCCGAGTGCTGAGCTAAACTGAAGTGTGGTGCGGCCTCGAAGAACGCCGTTACAATGTAGCGCAAACTCGACGAGCACGGGATGTGAAGCTTCTTGGCATTAAGGGCTACTACCGCCAAACGAAAAACGATAATCTCTTATTTTCTCGTCCATCCACTCAATTTTTTTTCTATAAAAAAAAAAAAGAAAATAAATCATCTCCAGCTCGAGATATGTTTTTTCCTTTTCAAATTTCACCATTTGCAATAATTTTTATTTATTTATATATAATTTTTTATATTAAATTAAAAAATCGATGCAAAAAGAAAGAAGAAATAAGTTTTTTCTTTTGACATCAAACAAAATTTAATCACTACGATCTGTAATTATTTGTATTAATAATGAAGGTTGAAACTAATAGAAAAAAAAATAGAATCGCGATAATTTGTTTTTATGAGAAAATTTGTATTTATAAGAATATAGAATAATAATGTTACGAAAAAATTAATATGTAAAAAGTATTTTAATTTTTTGTATGAAAAAGAAATAGGAATTTTAACGCTGGCAAGTGGTTTAAAGATTTTTTGTGCAGACACAATAAATGATGATTTTTCGAGAGCATCGAAAAGCCAGTGTGATAATCATCCCCTTGACGTTTGGGAATATCATAATTACGAACTTTAATCTCATAAATGATGGTAACTGTTGTTAACATCGTGTAGTACTACGATAGAGATACTAGTACTACACGTTCACGAGTATTAACAAAATAAAAGGGAGCAAGCAATTTATGAACAAAAAACTGTAGAAACTATAGGGTGTAAAATTCGTTCGATACTTTACTTTCTTCTCTATATAATAGCTTTTCCATGTGTACAGTTCGTGGGGTTGGGTTTACCCCTCAGTTTTCCTAGGCTTCGAATTACACATCGTGCAAAGCTATAAGGGCGAACTGGCTAGGCGCCAACCTTTCCCTTTCAAAATTTATTACTTTTATAAAAAAAAAACCCCTAAGCTAAGGTCAAACATTATACCATCGTAAATTAACAAAAATATATCGACTCGTTGATGTTTTATAGTTTTGTAAACGACATAATACGAAGTTGGTTGTGTAAATAAAATAACAAATAATTCATATTTATCGTTTTATTTGATTTAAAAATATTTAAATATTATTTAAAAACATAAAATGGTTGAAAAAAGAAGTAAATATGGTACTTCGGTTAAAGAAAAATCTATAAACGGTATGTTAGACAAATTTGTTTAAAATTATTATTTAATCTTTTGAAAAAATAAATATTACTTTTTTCTTAAGTTGAAACGTCAAGGATCTCGTCGGATAATTTTATGACAGAATTTATATCCCATTACAAAGAATATGATGTTGATAATTTACCTAAATTTGTGGTAAATAAAAAATGAACAAACAATCGATAAAATATTAGAAAAATAATAATACTTTGATAAAATTATTTTTAGATAAAGAATAGTATGATGGACGTTAAACTAACTCATCGATTTTCTCAGCTGCACGGAATAACTTTGATAGCGGATCCTAAACAAATATTAGCGTACCTATAATATTATTTTCGCACGAACCGGTGCCGGTAATATTTCTACTGTTAAATCGATGTCCAAGTTAATATACGTTTGTTTTCTATTTTAAGAAAAGATGATCGAGAGAATCAACCTACATTTCATTTGACTTATGAAAATTCTAAGATATTGGAAAACTTGCAAACATTTGAATGCAAAGATTAGTTTTTATATTTAATATTTTTTGTTCACGTGATAATACAATTTTGGTATATTCATTATAATAATATTTCTTTTCGAATTTTACGACAGGAAGTTTCTATTTGCATTTTAGATGCATTGTATTTGACGTTAAATAAGTATCGTACACTAACCGTATTAAAGTAAACATAATCAAATTCTCTCACTATCGTATTTGCAATTTTTCAAGTAATATAATATATATTTGATATTTGATAGACTACCAAATTGTGGTATAAATGCGTACGGTATTATTCAAATATGTTGCATACTAACGGATTTCAATTGTTTAAGAGATTTGAATTTAGATAGAAATCCAAATATACAAGAAAATTATTATCTCTTATGCAATTCTGCGGGAAAGTTCGTGAAATATGAGTAACTTGTTAATCAATAATTTTAATAAATTAATTTCAATAAATTAAAATAACAAATTAATTATTTTTAGCTTGCACTACTTGTCTTTGCAATTATGTAAAATTACAGATGATGGTGTGAAAAAAATAGCTGACGAATTGCAATACGCTGATCCACCTAACGAACCAAAATTATTAGCACTTAATTTATCAAATAATCGTATCGGTGATCTAGGAGTTATGAAAATCGCACGAATGTTACGAACAAATCGGTAAGTGAATGATTTTCTTTATGGAATCACGAGTTCTAACAAATTGAATAACATTTTCTTTATTCCAATTGCAGTTCTCTTCAGAGTCTGATATTAACAGGAAACAGGATATGCGATGACGGTGCTGCTTTGATAATCCAAGAACTTAATATGTTAGTTAAAGCATGATTATTCTATCAAAGAATTTATTAGCAAAATTTTGTAGAATTTCTATTTCTTTTTTTATTTTTTTTTTTTACAAATATCAGGTCGAAATTAACGCATTCTGAGATTGTAGATCTTCGAAGACGTAGATACAATGCTTTGATATTACGAGAAAATAAATTCGATGATGCCAATCGAACTAATGGAAACGAAATGATGAAAATTAACGGAGATTTATCAAATTTAGAGATCGTTGAACAGACGAAAATGAACAACAAAGTTTCGAATAAATTCAAAAAATCGAAAAAACGTACGAATCCCAGTACGAATGAAAAATTATTTTTAATCATTGAAATTTATGATAAATATATAAATCAATTATTTTTTTTTATAGTTTCACTTTCTAATAGGTCTTCCAAGATAACGGTGCAAGAAAATTCTACAAACGTGCCTCGACCTATGGTAACATTAAAATTAAGAGAAAAAAAAAATATATATATATATATAAATTACTATCTACATTTTCGTTTTCAGAGGATATTGGAAAAAAATTCGATCATAGAAATTAATCATCCTTTTGGCAAAGAAAGTGTTGCCACAGGAGGAGTCGTAAGAACAAGCGGAAATTTTCTATTACAACATTTAAATTTGAGTTGTACATGTTATCCTTTGAACATATATATATATATAATAGCATTAATATATATATTAATACTATTATTTATTATTTAAAAAATATATATATATTATTATATATTACAGTTAATCATTTATCTGGCAAGATTATAAAAAAGTTCATAGATTGTTTGCGTTATCAGACTTATGTGACGATGGGTGATACGAGCAGAGGTTTGCTTTATGTAAGATTAAAGGTAATTGTCTTTAAATAATAGATTTACCTAACTTTAAAAGTAAATATTATTATACTTTCACTCTTAATATCAGGGAAATTATTTTAAGCGAGATGATGACAAAGATTTAATTGAATTTGAAGAACTTTTGCGGTCTAGACAAGCTGGTGAATATTTGTTTAAATCCGATGATCCAGAAGATGATTCAATTTCATTGGATAATAATAATGATTTATGAAAAAAAAATATCTTGGTTTGTTAATATACACAGGCAAATTAAAAATTTTAAAAAATATATATGAGATTGATTTTTAAATGCGTTTGAAGAACAACAAAAACAATAAAAAAAAGTAAAAAAAGTAAAAAATTTCTTTCGAATTCGTAAGGCAATTGGCGCGAAATACAAAATGGCGTGATTCTTGTGTACTTGCTCAGAAGATCTTATCGAATGAACTTAGAACCCTTGACATCCCACGCGTATTGTTGCTGACCAACGATATTATATTGTACTTATGTTAGACGAGTTTCATTTCAAACGTGTTTTCCTATTGTCCTTTTACAACATTTTTTAACTTTCATTAATAGTATTTTTTGAAAAAACGTTATACAATTATAAAGCAATGATCTTTCGAATTGCATCGACCGTCTTGTTAACAAGCATCACTGTATTGGAATTTAGTACAATATTTAATTACGCAACGAACTACTCGAAATTGTTAAACGAGGTAATTTGTCATTATCGTTCTATTTAATTCATTTTATTTTCTTCTTATTTTTATTATAAAATAACAATTAATAACGACTAATAACTAGAACAAAAATAAATAAAATTATTATTTTGTTCTCTGTTTGAAAAATTGTTGAACAATTATCTGATCAAATAATTGCGATTATATTATTGTAATAAAAAGTATACTATATATATATATATAAGATACTAGCGACATCTGGCGTTTGTTAAGCACAAAGTATTAATACGAACAGTATCATAGTATGCTATCGTACGTTCTTGTTGTTCGTGTCTAATAAAAATGTGAATTTACAGTCTGCAATATGTTGCCAGTGGAATGTACCAAAAATACACCATGTTATACATTCACTACTAATTCTTACAGTGAGTCGAAATATAAACGTTGATCGAAAAATAAAGACGCCAATTTCATTATAAAAATACATGATAAATTTAATCACGTCCTTCAACGACCGTTAGATATTTTTGGTCGCCGTACGCAGTGACATCTGTCAAACGTTAATTGAATTTCTGTTTTTTGGCGCGATTTTACCATTCAAGTAAAATCATTTTACGATCAAGGTGAAAAGTGACGATAACATCATGTTTTTATGTGTGCACACGTTTAGAGTGTGCGTAATATTTAATTAACGTCTATTACCTTGTAAAATAAATATGATCAAATATTTATAAAGTAATAAATATTTATCGAGTTAAAAAAAAAAAAAAGAAAACATAAAACACGTGTAAGAGAAAGAGAAAGAGAGAGAGAGAGAGAGAGAGAGAGAAAATATCTTCAAAAATGTACGAAAATTTGTTCAAGAATCCTTTGCATCGTATATTCGTTTATGGGACCTTGAAAAGAGGAGAACCAAATCATAAACTTATACAAGATAAAGCTAATGGATATGCGAAATTCCTTGGAATCGCTAAAACTACTTCTTCTTATCCATTAATTATTGCTACTAAATATAACATTCCATTTTTGTTGAAAAAACCAGGAGTCGGTCATGTAAGTGAATGATTTTATTAAATATTATTACATATATTTTAATAAAAATTTCAAATTAAAACGCACAAAAATTTGTATATAAATATTATATGAATTGCTATATTATATTATCAAAATATTTAAAAACATTTAAAAGATTTATATAAACATATTTATTATTACTATTATTATTATTATAAGAAAAAAATTCAATATCAAACGAGAAAATATTTATATGCATGAAAATATATCATTTTCATTCTATAATTCGTGATTAAACTGATAAATTTGATAAACACTCGTTATTTTTAGTCTACGATTAGATACGAAATGTTTTAAAGTAATATAAAAATAATTTTTTTTCCTGCATGATTAAGTAACATAGTTATTTCTTGACACATATCTTTTATTTACAAGTAGCACGTGATGGGCGAAATATATGACGTCGATTCAAAGATGTTGACAAAGTTGGATGAGCTGGAAGAACATCCAAATTTTTATAAGCGAACGGAAGAGGATGTTTTGATGGCACCCGAATTTAAACTCAAGCATAATAAAAATATCGAAGAGGTGAATTCTTAAATTCATAAGAATTTCATTTTTTTATACACATTTCATTTAAATATATTTCTCTATAATAACAAATTTTATATATATAATATAATGTATAACATATAATATACATAGAATATAAATGTAAAACAATTAAACATTAACATTTAATCTGACGATAATTTTATATCGGAAATGGGGTCTTTTACAAAATTTATATTTTTTATTACCATTGAACGCAAATAATAATAATGTAATTTGGTATTAGTATAAATAATACATAAAATAATTACATAACATTTATATATTTATATTACTTTTTAGGTTGGCATGTTAACGAAGGCCTGGATTTATTTTTTACCAAAATTTAAAAGTTCTTTACTGGAAATACCCATGTATGAATCTTACAGCAACGAAGGAAATCACGGATTAAAATATGGAGAAAAGTATGTCCGTGATCCTACGTACGATCATAGGAATGAGGTTCAATGAATAAATTAATCAAAAATATAAGGCAATTATTTTTATCTGCTATCTTTACAGTGACGAAACTACTGCTACTATCGAAGACGTACTTTGACAATGATCAAGGTCATATATGCGATAAATATCGTTGAATTTAATATTACGATGACCAAGATAATTCGTCATATGTAAATTATATTTACATGCAATATGTATATATGTATTTTATGTATGCCTATAAGGATAGATGTGTTAATCAAGGCTGTAAAAAAATACGAACAAGTCCAGCTGGTCTAAAAAGTATTTTAATATTATCATAAGCTTGTTTTCACACTCACCTCCTCATTGTACATTAACAACTTGTATTTCTCTCTCTCTATCTCTCACGTCCATTACTTTTTTATTTTTCTTTAATAATAAAAAAAAAGAACATATTAATAAAAATATAAGCAAATTTGTATAATATCGAATCTTGTAGCAACGATCACTATACAAAGCTAAAATGCGATTTAGGTCGCGATAAAATTCTACTTTAATTTAAGAATTTATGTATATATACACAATGTGATTATATTTGAAGTAACATTTAAAATAAGCGTCGAAAAGTATGACAGAAGTTGTATAAATCAGGAGCTTTAAGAGACATTTTCGATAAATTCCATTTATTCGAAATTTTTCTTATCTTCTTCTTGATGATTTTCTATAATACAAAACTTAGAATTCGAAAAGAAATTCGTATAGCCGAAAAATCAATCTCTCATGTGATTTATTTTTTTTTATTTACTTCACTTTCATCAGTTTAAGTAGCCACGTTTTCTCCGTATGAATTTCTATATGCGTCAAACATTTCTAACTCGATTCTCTTGTAATTCTTTTTTTAAATATCGTTCTCTCTCTCTCTCTCTCTCTCTCTCTCTCTCTCTCTCTCTCTCTCTCAATCATGCAACGATAAAATGATTTTTTATTTTTATTTTAACTATATACTGTAACAGAAGGCAGATTTGTACCGCATAACCAATCAGCGTCATAATTATTCAGTAGCGCTAATCATTCGAAAAATTCTTGTATTCTTCGAGAGACATATGATGCATTACATTTTGCAACATATTTTGGAAGCTAAACACAGAAGCTCTTTTACAATGATTGGCGTTTAAACACGCGATTAGAAACACTCGATCAATATATATTTAAATATACATATATGTATATATATATACAGAATGTTTAATAATTGTATGTTAATAGTTTATGAGAGTTCATATCTAAAAACTAGAATAAATGTAAAAATCGTGAAAAGTTTTTTCTTTTATTAGTCTTATAGTTAGATATGCCCTCCGAAAAACTGGCATACATTTTTATAAAACATTCTCTATACTGTACTGAAAAATAATATTGGCACCGATTCATCTTTTTTGTTATAACATCTGTAAATCTAAAAAGTACGATTTTTCATTTTCTTAGTTAAATATATCTCTCGAGTGTAATGTATAAATATATTCCAAATCGTGGAGATCAAATGGGTATACAAAAAAAATAATAGTTATTAATTGAGAAAAATGGATTATGCGTTTTTCATTTATTTTCATTTATTTTAATTTATTTTTTTATTTTACAACAATTAAAATTCTCCACCGTCTTACAATACATTTAAACTCGAGAGATAGATAGATTTTTACAAGAAAAAAAAAATAAATTAGTAAAAAATCAGTACCTTATAGTAATTTACAGAAAATATGATTAAAAAAATGTTATTTGTGCTAATACTTTTATTCATCACCGTATATGTATATATATA